AGTTTACAGAGGTGATGTTTTACGCACGTTTTTATTTTAAGTAAAAAAAAATCTTTGTGTTTGTGTCCTTTATAAAGTTTATATCTCCGCTACTTGGCACCACATTTTATGACACACATGGCCCAGCTAAACAAGGTCTCATTTATGTCAGATCCGGCCCTCATAACAAATGAGTTCGACACCCCTGATACAGAGCTTGTAAATTTTATTTAGAATTTTAGAATGTACACCCCAAAATATATATTTATATGCTTAAAAGCATTATTCAGCATCTGAATACAACCTAAAAGGACTTACTTTGGTATGGATGGTAAAGCTCTTTCACCTTCTGCATGAAGAGGACAATACACAAAATCAGTATTACACGTATACCACATGAAGAATATATTGCATGGTTATGGAAAAGGCACATTATAAAATCAGTTAACTGCATTTTCCTGTTGTAGAAGTTATGCTATAATTTCCATCCCAGTAGTCTCAGACCAAGCTTCCAGATCTGCCACTCATTTCTGAGAAACCAGGTTTCTATAATGAAAAATGACTCCTGTATGGAGGACAAAAATCCCAGCCCACCCAAACCTTCTCCGAAACACAGCTGTTCCGTGTTCAAGTCTCAAAACTGCAGCAAGTTCTCTCAGTGCTTTTTTATTAAATATGATATCCCCCTTCCAGGGGTTAACTCTAAAAGGGTTTTCCTTTAGTTTCCCCATACAATTTCCAAGACACCCATTGAAGCCCAACATATCAGGTCATGAAAGGTGAGAAATGGAACAGAATACATTGCAGAAATGTTAACCGATACATGAACAAGCCACTGATCAGAACAGGGTGATTTCAAAGTCAGAGCTAGGTATTTCCCCCCGTTTATTAGTATTCAAAAGTTTTATTGAGATTGCACTGGACTATGAGAATGGGGGTACTCAAGTGTAAGTCTTCAGTGTGAAATAAACATGAATCTCCATCTGTATACACAAGGAGTGAGACCTGTTTAATTTGTACTGTGGGTGCTGAAGGATCCAACATGTTTTGTACGTATCATTAGGGAAGCAGCAGCAAAAAAAGGGGGGGAAATACACCCATATCCTTGCACTTCCTGAGAGTTCACTCAACAGATTATCACTCTCCAATATGATGAGGCCCCACTGAATTCAACAAGAGGACTTCATCAACATACGGCTCAAGATACTAAGTGTGGTTTTTCAGAAGCTGTGATAAAGAGGAAGAGGCACATATATGCCACCCTAAGCTCTTTGGAAGAGAGATGGAATAAACATGCAATGAAGCATAATTATAACACAATAGATAACTTGAAGAGTGCCTAAAGAGAGGACCGATCTTCCTATCGTTACAGAAAATCTATCTTTAATGGATGGTGTTGGGAGGTATTTTTAAAGGATGAAAAACATGGAGTGAAGCACTGATAGCTAATAACTTGGCGGCACAGAGTTATAGATTACGAATAACTTGTAGTCCCACCATTACAGAATTATCTGCATGACAGTAATTACTGGACTACCCCTCTCAATCACTCGTTCATTTTTTTAGAGACCGAGAGATATCCCTGCTAGAAGAAATTAGGCGACAAATGGAGAATTCTGGGGTTTTATTTTTGCTCGATCACCAACCTGACCAGAAGCAGTACGCAGGTTTTTTTTCCTCTTACCTTTCTGGGGCCTGATGATAAAGGACTGCGTAGCACCGTTCACCAGTCGGCAATAGCCGTCTATCAAGTCAGCCATGTTCTCTGCAATGGTTAAGGATGGGGCTGTCACTGTCAGAGGCTGAAGAGTGAGGGAGAGAGAGAAAAAAAATAGGGCACCAAACAAAGAGGCATTATTCCAGACACAAACATTTAGGAGAACAGCTGAACAGTTATGTCACGGCAGAGCAGGCTACCGGAAAACAGTAAACAGAAAAAAAGGGGGTCTCAGATTTATTAAATTGTTCAACTCGTATGACCCAAAATCCCCCACGTAATGCAGCCTCACGGCCACATGCGAGCTGACACGACCACAATGCCACACCACTTTCAGATGGCACTTCAGATTATCACAGGAGCAAGTTTTTCCCAGCTGCCCAGCAGGTCTATACGTCTGCAGGGAAGCAAGGCCTCAGCACAGTTGGACGCATCGCCTTACTTCTTCTATGTACCTGCACTTCGGGGACCACTCAGGACAGAGAATCTATGAATCCATTACCACGTTAGTTTTATAAATCAAATCAAATACCTTTAATGGCATATCAATAAAATACATGGTGTGATAAAATATGAGCAAGGAGGCGTTACAGAGACAGCAAAATAAGGGAGATCATACAGAACGCTTGTATCTGTCTTTAACCACTTCAGCCAAAAACCTAGCAGCCAGAGCTGTGATGTCCGGGTTTGTGTCACTTAATAGACATTGGCAGGGGTCATTTCCTGCGGGAGCGCACAGGAGCGGAGCTCTGGCAGTAAAGAGCCCATAGGGCGGGCACATGCAACAAGCCCTGCCCCCTGCTCCCAGCTACCTTCAGTCATGCCACAGGGAGCAAGAAGCAGCCAGGTGAGTTGCATAGCCCCCCCTTCCCGCCTTCAGGTACAAGCTCTCCCTCCTCTGCCAGGGCAGATCTGCACGTTCCCCCCCTCCCCAATAGCTAGCAGTCCAAAACAGTCCAGTGGAGCCTGAGCGGTGGGTGTTGCCTTCCGGTGATGTCAGGGGGTGTGGCATATACACATAAGTTATGCTAATGAGCTCCTGCACCTCTTTTTCTACGAAATGACCCCTGGACATTGGATTATTCTGTCATTGTTAACACAATGTTTAGGGTACAGTGGAGAGGAAAGGAGTCCTCTTACATGGACCTGCATGCAATTGACATTCCAAGACAATGTGATGGAGTTCTAAAATCTGTTCAAGAAAAATTTTTGGTTCAACACACGATAGTAGGATAGAGTGAGTGACAGGGGCTCATAACTCCCCCCCCCCTTTGGATAACAGAGGGCAGGTTTGATTGGCCTTTGGTACCTGATATACCTGATGGCTCAGGCTAGCCCAGTCCCATCAGCTCTTGGAAGCTAAGCAGGGTTAGATGGGAGACCACGAAAGAAGACCAGGGTCACTACGCAGAAGCAGGCAATGGCAAACCAGCTCTGCATGATTCTGGGCTGGAAAACCCTACGGGGGTCCTGTCCATACAAGGCCTTTTGGGCCGGGAGCGGGACGGAACGGGGGCGGACGGCGGAGCAAACGGGCGCGATCCCACGGCAACATCTGGGGAGCGTACCATCTCCGTCCCTGATCCGTCCCTTCCAGCGTTGATCCGCTCCAAAAAAGAGCCACCTCCCGAGGTGGTTCTTTTGGAAGGGCCACAGCAACGCTGGCCGTGGGATCGCCAGCTGGTCCTTGCGCCGGTGCATCCCTAGCTCCTGGCCGAACTGCGCATGTGTGAGCATGCACAGTTCGCCAGGCTCCCCTTCGCACCGTCGCTTTCTCTCCGGCATCTGATCGTGCCGGGGAGCGACGCACTGCGGCTCAGGGGATCCGTGAGATCCCGCCACGCCATCTCAACTTTGCTGCGGCTCACATTAGCCGCAGTTCGATCGTCGTTTTCAGAAAACCCTACGGGGTCGCCCTAATTTGGCTGCGACTTGACGGCACTTTCTACCACCACCACCACCTGATACACCTTTGAAGAGCTACGAAGTGTGCCTGAATGTCAGATTCTAACTAAACTTAAATGGTGGTATCGAAGCCCTGGGGTGCATTCAACGGCATGTTTCTGCGGATGCGAGGACTTCTCGACTTCCCCCATCCCCACAATAGCTCAAAATGGCCCCCAAATCCTGCTTGTGGGAGCCCCCTCTTCACAATGTTGGACCCACCCCACCATCTCTTATACCAGAATACCAGCTTATCAGCAATCACTTCTTCACATAATGTAAGAAAGGGAGCACGAATGAGACACTTCTATTACCTAAGGATCATCTGACGGACTGGCGTTTATGACTGCAATCCAATTGTGCTTTTGCTAATCTATATATGTGTTAGGTAAAGGTAAAGGTTCCCTTGCTCGAAAGCCAGTCGAATCCGACTCTAGGGTTGCGGTGCTCATCTCCGTTTCAAAGCCGAAGAGCCAGCTCTGTCCGAAGACATTTCTGCAGTCATGTGGCTGGTATGACTAAACACCAAGGCGCACGGAACGCTGTTACCTTCCCACCGAAGTGGTACCTATTTATCTACTTGCAATTTCTTGCTTTCGAACTGTTATATTCTATGAACATTGCCTGAATCCTCCTGTTTCCTATGTATTGTTTGATATTCAATAAAAGTTATTCAAAACCAAAAAAAAAAAAAAGACTGCAATCCAATATATGTTATATGTACTTTCAAATCCTATTTTGAACCTATGTGTGTGCTAAGCGCCATCAGGTCATTTCTGACTTACAGCGACCCTACGAATTAATTGTCCTCCAAAACGTCCTACTGTTCACAGCCTTGCTCAGATCTTGCAAACTGAAGATCATGGCTGCCTTGATGGAGTCAAAATCCCTCTCATGTTGGGTCTTCCCTCTCTTCCTTCTGCCTTCAACTTTTCCTAGCATTATTGGCTTTTCCAGGTCCTAAATTATTCTAGATTAGACTGTGTATGTTGTACCCAGAGCAGTGATGGCGAACCTTTTAGAGACCGAGTGCTCAAACTGCGACCCAAAACCCACTTATTTATCGCAAAGTGCCAACACGGCAATTTAACCTGAATACTGAGATTTTACCTTAGAAAAAACAACTCATACATTAATTTAAGATGATCCAAACAAAGTAAGGAAAGCAATCCCAAATGCTTTCATTTACTTAAAATTATTTGGCAGAGAATTAGACACTTTAATGATGGTATGGGCCTGGTTGGGGCGATGGCACGCGTGCCCACAGAGAGGGCTCTGAGTGCCACCTCTGCCACCCGTGCCATAGGTTCGCCACCACTGACCTAGAGTATGGTATCCAACTGTAGCTGCCAAGAAGGGCAAGATTGATTGTTGTTGTTCAGTCGCACAGACTCTTTGCGACCCCATGGACCAGATCACGCCAGGCCTTCCGGTCTTCCGCCGTCCTCTGAAGTTTGCTCAACTTCATGTTCGTTGCATCTATGACACTGTCTAACCATCTCATCCTTTGCCGTCCCCATCTTCTTTGACTTTCAATGTTTATTTATCTATTTAACCTATTTATCTACTTGAAATTTCTTGCTTTTGAACTGCTAGGTCGGCAGGAGCTGGGACCAGAGACAGGAACTCACTCCGTCACGCGGCACTAGAGTCTAGAACTGCCGAACTACCAGCCTTTCAGTCTGCAGTTCAGCGTCTTAACCACTGATCCACTGCAACCCCCCCCTTACATGGCTAGCAGCAAACATATAAGTGTTCCTACAATGCATACAGCAATTGTTTCCATCAACACATCATAATAATGAGTATGCAGAAAAGACAGTAGCGTGTTTTTTCACTATGACCATCACCATGAATTCTTGTGCAAACAACCACAGCAGAGGGAAAGTAAGGGTATGTGCTTTAACACAGCTGCCGGAACACAAACTATCTCCAGCATTTTGGACCGTTATCAGCATAGAATTTGGATCACACAATAGCATATACCCAACTGGGAATCTAGTGCACGGCGTAACGCCTAGTTTTAGTGAGTGGCACTTAATAAGACCACAGGGAGAAGTGAAGAATAACTGGTGAAAAATAATTCCTAAAATTTTTTAATTTTTTTTTTTGGGGGGGGGGAGTCAGCAAAAGGCACAGCAACTATTAACTCCTGTTACCTGAGCCGGCAATGGCAAAGTCAGCAACTGCCCACCTACCTCCGGTGCTCCAGCAATTTTCATCTGTAGCACTCCTTTCCTGTCTTTATCTTCACTGCTTGAATACTGGATGGTCTGCACTTGATGGAAGTCGGCCAGGTGAGTAGGCTGCAGAAAGGTATACGGCAAAATGGAAGTGTTAGTAAATACACTTTGAGATAAGAACATACATAAGAACATAAGAGAAGCCAATGTTGGATCAGGCCAATGGCCCATCCAGTCCAACACTCTGTCACACAGTGGCCAAGAATACCAGGTGCCATCAGGAGGTCCAGCAGTGGGTCCAGGACACTAGAAGCCCTCCCACTGTTGCCCCCTGTCCCATCCTGACAAATGTGTGGGACCAGCAGACCGATACTTTCTCAGAGCTTCCCCCTACCTCATCACTCTTATTCCATTTTTTAGCTGAGCCCCGCAAGAATGTCACGGCCTCTGCACGTGAGAAGGGAGGGAGATGACTGAATGGCGACTCTGCCTAAAGAGAGTGCCGCTGAGCAATGAGATGTACTGGTAGGGCTGCCAGTATTGGTTGGGAAATTCCTTGGAAATTTGGAGGTGGAGCCTGAGGAGGGCGGGGTTTGGGGAGGGGAGGGACCTCAGCAGGATATAATGCCATGCTAAGAGTGATGAACACATGGAATTCACTGCCACAGGACGTGGTGGCAGCTACAAGCATGGACGGCTTCAAGAGGGAATTAGATAAGCATACGGAGCAGAGGTCCGTCAGTGGCTATTAGCCACAAGGTATAAATAGGAACTCTGAGTCTGGGGCAAGGGTGCTCTGTATTCTTGGTGCTTGGGGGGGGGGCAATAGTGGGAGGGCTTCTAGTGTCCTGGCCCCACTGCTGGACCTCCTGATGGCGCCTGGTATTTTTGGCCACTGTGTGACAGAGTGTTGGACTGGATGGGCCATTGGCCTGATCCAACACTGGCTTCTCTTATATTCTTATAATAGGGAATTAGATGAGCATATGGAGCAGAGGTCCATCAGTGGATATTAGCCACAAGGTATAGATAGGAACTCCCAGTCTGGGGCAAGTGATGCTCTGTCTTCTTGGTGCTTGGGGGGGGGGCACAACAGTGGGAGGGCTTCTAGTGTCCTGGCCCCACTGCTGGACCTCCTGATGGCACCTGGTATTTCTGGCCACTGTGTGACACAGAGTGTTGGACTGGATGGGCCATTGGCCTGATCCATCATTTGCTTCTCTTATGTTCTAAGTGCGCTGGACCGTGAGAAATTCACCTCAGGAAGATACTGGTGTGAGGTGGAAGTGGGGGATGGAGAGGGAATGTGTGTTGTGGGTGTCACTAGAGTATTGTAGTTTTTATGGCGGTTCATCCTGGTGGTTATCTGCTTTGCCTTCCTTTCAGTCAGTTGCTTTATCTGTCAGCGTTCCTGAAAAGATCTGGGTGTTCCTGGGTTATGAAGAGGGTTGTGTGGATTTTTTTGGTGTGGATACAAAAGAAAGGCTCTTTGCTTTCCCTTCAGCCTCATTATTTATTTATTTATTTATTTGTTTACTTATTTATTGTTTAATTCAATTTATATTCCCCCCCCTCCCTGCCAGGAAGACTCAGGGCGGCTTGCATTAAAAAGTTAAAATGCATTAAAACACAGATAATAAACATCATGAACTCATGTACATAACAAATAAAGTGCTGCTGGTGGTATAACATTACATAGTGATCTCAGTCGGCCATGATGGAATGTTGACAAGTTAGTATGGTCAGAGTCAGTATCCAGTATATTTCAGGCTATTTTGATGGCAGAGAGGGCCATAACACTGTTCAGTTGTTGTTGGTCGCGGCTCCTAATCAAAGGCCTGGTGGAAGAGCTCTGTTTTGCAGGCCCCGCGGAACTGTAAAAGGTCCCACAGGGCCCTGATGTCTTCCGGGACCTCATTCCACCAGCATGGAGCCGCTACTCAGAAGACCCTGGCCCTGGTAGAGGCCAGCCTGGCATCTTTCATTCCACGGACGGCCAAACGATTTTGAGACCCCGACCTCATTGCTCTCTGGGGAACATGTGGGGAAAGGCGGTCCCTCAGGAAGGAAGGCCCCAGACCATTCTCTGGGGAGGCATTCTGTCCCTATTTCTTCCTTGAGCCAAAAACCTAATTGATATGTTGCTCTTGAAAGGAGTCATCGCCATGATGGGCGGAAAGAGGTGAAATAATGTTTTGGAGCCCACCCTCCAAAGCAGCCATTTTCTCCAGTGGAACTGATCTCTGTTGTCTGGAGACCAATTGTAATTTTGAGAGATTTCTGGACTGCACCTGAAGGGTAGCAACCCTAGGCACTGGTAAACATCCAGCTTGGAAACCGATATAAGATCTACCCGGAAATACTGAATAATCCAGCTTTCTTAAATTAAAGTCTATTTGTTTATCTATTTGCTTATTTAGTCATTTATTTAAAACATTTATTAGCTACCTTCCTGCCTCACAGGACTCAGGGCCAGAGTTCCCTCTAAGCTGAGTTAGTGTGAGCTAGCTCACAGTTTTTTAGCCTCCAGCTCACACATTTTTGTCTGAGCTCAGGAAGGATGGCTCCAGAGCAAACTAATTTATGCAGTAGCCAAATCGCTCGCTCACAACTTTAATGCCAGTAGCTCACAAAGTAGAATTTTGCTCACAAGATTCCACAGCTTAGAGGGAACATTGCTCAGGGCAGCTTATGATGTAAATACAACAGCTACTGAACACACACACACACAAAAGACCACAATTTAAAATCTCAATTAGGACTGCTAATAAATACGTATACACACCCAAATTATATGACAAAATACTGAACACACACAGCGATGACGACTAACCTTGATGGTTCTCTATAAAATAATAACTGTACTCTGAGAAATAGCAGAACAACATATACCTTGCTTCCATCTATCAATATGAGTTATTGCTATGGATTTCGCAGACGAACAAATTACCGTTCCATTCCTAAAAGCGCATTTGAAATATTTATGGCATTTTTGGTTTCTCTCTAAAACGATACCATCTATAATGCAAAAGGCTTTTTTTTATTGTGCACAATAGAGCAAAAAGTCAAGAGACTGATCTAAGGGTGGCTGTTTGACCCCCACTGGCCACTTTCCACACTAATGAATGGCATATCTCATTCACATCACCTGCCATTTATTCAGTTTCACTTCAAGACACAACTTTCCATTAAACGGTCTCTCCCAGTACTACACCCCGACCCTCATTACATCATATATTGAGAGTCAAAGAAGCAGACTTACGTTGGAACCCTTGTCGGTCAGGTAGCTGATTCCTTCTTCTGGACCAATAGCCAGCTCCACCGAAATAATCCAACTTGACTTTTTATGTTGAATAGTCCACAGGAAGTGATGAAAGTTTGGGGAGAATGTAAAGAAAATGTGTGGGTAAAGACTCTGAACGCCATCCTTTTCAAAGGAACTTTACAAGCAATGAAAAACCAAACTTCAAACAGAGGGCTGCATCCAAAGATTACGTCCCACTGATGACAGATGGTGAAACGGCCTTTCTGCCGCCAGAGGAAGTGTGGATGATTTTCACTGACAACCCCCCCCCCCCATATATCCTTATTCTGCCTCCCATGCTGTTCCTGAGGGTCACTTCAGACCCCAGGAGCAGAATTTCAGGGGGCTTAGTGATGTGCAGCAGGAAGAAGAAGGGGGTAAAAGCCCACTTCATTTTGCCGGCAGTGCTTTTGATTCAAATTTGAGAAAGAATGCCTCAAAGAGTGTCCCACAGAACCATAGCAAGAAGAAGAAGAAGAGGAAGAAGAAGAAGAAGGGGAAGAAGAAGAGGAGGAGGAGGAAGAGGAAGAAGAGGAGGAGGAGATTGTATTTATACCCCGCCCTTCACTACCCAAAGGAGTCTCAGAGCGGCTTACAAACTCCTTTCCCTTCCCCTCCCCACAACAGACACCCTGTGAGGGAGGTGGGGCTAAGAGAGCTCTGACAGAAACTGCTCTTTCTCAAGGACAGCTGTGCCAGAACTATGGCTTGACCGACGTCACACCAGCAACTGCATGTGGAGGAGTGGGGAATCAAACACGGTTCTCCCAGATTAGAGTCCGCACTCTTAACCACTACACCAGAATATTTAAAATATTTATAATCCGCCTTTCTCTCAGGGACTCAAGCCCGATTATGAATAGCGAGTCAGTACAACGGACAAAATGGGACATTCAGCAACCAAGGCATTAGGCAAGAGTTTGTTACGAGGGCCGTATCTGTCATAAATGTGACTTTGTTGGGCTGGGCCATGTGTGCCATAAAACGTGATGCGTGTCTTTATAAAGGACAGCAGCTGGTAAGCGCCGAGTTGGTGTCCTCACTGCAATGCCCCCTGGACCCGGGGGGTGCAGAGGAAAACACATATGGGGGGACTGGAGAGCCAGCGGTGCAGCACTGGGCAGATGCTCCCGTGCTGTCTGGGGGAGGGGCAAACCCTTTCCCCAGCCTGCTCCTGCCACTGATGCTGTAAGCCTGGGCCCCAGGGTAAAAACGTTAAATGCCTGGGTGTTGCCAACTCCCCACTGCTCCCAAGCCACCATGGAAGGGGACTAGGAAGACAAGTTGAACTAACCCCCCTGCCTGCAGAAGCACGGGGGGGGGGGGCCCTAGGTCCGAGGCCATGTGCACAGTGGGACCCTGGCCAAGCAAAGTCTGATAAGCCAGAGATGCCTGTGTGCCAGCCAAGGCCGCCAGGTGATCCACAGTGGGGAGATGCTGAAGGTTTGAGACAGAGATCATCAAGTTTCACCAAGGGGGCGGAAGGCCTGCCTGCTGAGTCATGTGTTCAATGGCAGGACTAGAACCTCGATGTGTGGAAGAAACTGAAGAATACCCCCCATGGGCCAAAGCACAGCCTCCACATGAGGGAGGTTTGCAAATACGGAGGTGGTGCTGGCCGCCAGCAGACCCCAGCAGAGGATCGTCTGCACCCCTCCACGTTCAAATGCGATCCCCACGGCCATCCAGGACAGCATCTCTGGAGCTGCAGGTCGAGCAGAGAGGTTTGTGCACCCTTAGCCTTGAAACCCTGAGCTGGCATGAATACGGCAGTGATGGCTCCCAATTTACATTTGAGGCTGCCACTGAAGCAAAGAGGTACTGCTTGACTACTGCAGACAAGGTTGTCCCGCTGTGCTGAAGCCACAATTGGAGTGGCTCCGCCCACTCATGGCCCCCCCAGCAGCCTCCTGGTCCCTCACTTGCACCCGGTGGGCCAGATGAGAGCCCTGGACGGGCCGGTTCCGGCCCCCGGGCCTTATGTTTGACACCCCTGCGTTAGGATTTTAGAAGCCTGGAACCACCAGAATGAACTGAAGCATAACGTAAGTATTCACAGGACACATTAAGCAATATAAGATTTACATAATGGAATCCTACTTATAATAAGCTATACACGGCAGTATAGACAGTCTCAATTATTTATCCAAGTGAGTTTGTGAACTCTTTTTTGTACAGTGCAACCCTGTTATGTGTGCAGGAAGGTCTTCTTGAGTAGTTCAGTTTTGCATAATTTGTGGAAGGCTTTCCTGACCTCCATTGTTTTATGCCCCCACCCAACAGCTCCCGAAATGAGAGCTTTCCTGACCTCAATGGGCAAACCTTTCCACAAGGTGGGAGCCACAACGGTGAAGGCAGGTGTACAGGCAGTTGTCGATTTTGCCCATTTGCAGGCTGCCACCACCTGCAGAAACCCCTATTGACATGAGTGAAGTTGTTGTAGTGGAGTATGTGGGGAGAGGTGGTCACACAAACAAAGAGGGGCCACGGGGTCATGAAGGGCTTCCTGTGTGGCAGCCAATACCTGAAACTGAGCCCAATAACAGATGGCCAATCAACGGAGTATCTGCAGAATGGGAGTAATATGCTTGCAGTCTCCATCAGTGTTCCCTCTAAGCTGAGTTAGTGTGAGCTAGCTCACAGTTTTTTAGTCTCCGGCTCGCACACATTTTCGTCATAGCTCAGGAAGCCTGGCTCTAGAGCAAACTTATTTATGCAGTAGCCAAATCGCTCGCTCACAACTTTAGTGCCGGTCGCTTGCAAAGTAGAATTTTTGCTCACAAGTCTCCACAGCTTAGAGGGAGCAATGGTCTCCATCCATTCATTCACTGTTCACCCTCTCAGAGCCGCCTTCGTGACCAAAGTTCTCTTCATGTTGATGAAGTTCTGATGCCACTTTACATTTTATATGTGCACACAAACATGTAACTCGTAAGCGAACGTTTTGCAATCCACCTAGAGGCTTTTTGGCTGAGTACCATGGGGTACACATTTCAAAAGGAATAGATACATACATAGTAAAGGTAAAGGTTCCCTTGCTCAAAAGCCAGTCGAGTTGCGGTGCTCATCTCCGTTTCAAAGCCGAAGAGCCAATGCTGTCCAAAGACGTTTCCGTGGTCATGTGGCCGGCATGACTAAACACCAAGGCGCACGGAACGCTGTTACCTTCCCACCAAAGTGGTACCTATTTATCTACTTGCAATTTCTTGCTTTCAAACTGCTAGGTTGGCAGGAGCTGGAACTAGAGACGGGAGCTCACTCCATCATGCGGCACACTCGGGTCTCGAACTGCTGAACTACCAACCTTCCACAGCCTGCAGTTCAGCGTCTTAACCACTTGAGCCACCGCAACTCCAGATACATACATATTATCTATTTTTAAAAAAGCTTTTCCTTCAGTGTTGTTTTATTTATATACACGTCCATGAAGATTAAATTGCTTAGGACAGAATATGATTCCTGAACTAGGATTTATTTAATCCAGTGATAAACAGAGTGGTAGCCCTAGAGCTGTTACTAAATGTTTGTTCTTCGCAACCGGGGAAAAGCCTCTGTGATCACACGGATTTAAAATTAAAGAATGAGTGTGCCTTTCATCTCTAACGTATAGGCAAAGCACCAGACGACCTACCTTCTGCCCATAAAAACTAAAAATGTACTGTTGATCTAAGCAAGAGTAATTAGCCTGACAATTTCACAACATGCTCTAGCAGTCAGATGCGACATACTTACACCGAGGGCACACTTGAAGCATTCCTTGTCAAATCTGTACACTGGCGAAAGAATCTCGAAGAATTTCAAAATACTTTCTTCTCTGTTGAGGTTGGCAAACTGTCGAAATGTTTGCTGGATCAGTTTTCGTAGTGTTTTCGCCTGGGTAATGAAATATTCAGACACTGTTGTAAGCTTTCTGCCAGCAAGGGCGAATATTAATTGCATTCATCATCACAGCATTGCCAACATTTGCTCAAATTCCTGGCAAAACATACCAATTAGCATTTCTGAAGCAGAAAGGAGCTTCATCAAGCATTAGGGTTTTTGTTGTTGCATGTTACAAAGAAAAACAATTTCACACATTTTAACAGGTGGTGTTGCTTAAGCAAAGTTTAACATAGTTTAATTAATTTATAATATTAAACAGACTATTAGCACAGTGCTGAACTAAACTGTTATTGTTTATTGTTTAATCATATTTTCAAGTCCCTTATGGTGAGATGAAGATATCACAATCAGTTCTCTTTATTGCATCACATACTATTTACATTTCGCACAGAAACTTTATGTTTGTGTGTGTGTGTGGGGGGGGGGAGATAAGATATATCTGCTGTACGCTGAAATTTTAACCTACATATTACTCATGCAGCTCTCAGAAATACCTTTAATTTATTCACTGTCCAAACCCCTAGGCTCAGTAAACATTATGGCATTTTTTAAAGCTGAAGATTAGGGGTGAGCATTCGGTATATACCGAGTCGAATAAATACTCAAAAAATATCTTATTGGTATTTGGGGGTTATTTATTCAGACAAATCAGATTAGAGAATCTGATTCACCTACCAACCTAGGTTTGCCCAAATAAAAGTCGATATTGTTCAGATTGTATTCGGCTACAGTGTGGAGAAGCCAAGTTACACTGCTGCGGCAGCCTGGGCCAGCTTAGAGAAGTGATTTAAAGCAGTGTTCCCTCTAAGATGAGTTAGTGTGAGCTAGCTCACAGTTTTTCTAGCCTCCAGCTCACAGGTTTTCGTCTTAGCGCAGGAAGGATGGATCCAGAGCCAACTAATTTATGCAGTAGCCAAATTGTTCGTTCACAAATTTAATGCCAGTAGCTCACAAAGTAGAATTTTTGCTCACAAGGCTCCACTGCGTAGAGGGAGCACCTCTTTAAATCCCTTCTCCAAGCCAGCCCATGCTGCAGCAGTGAAATTCAGTGAGTGAACTCAGGCATTTAAAGGGTCTCTTTAAATGCCTGAGTTCACTCGTCAAGTCCTGCTGCCACAGCGGGCCAACTTGAAGAAGGAATTTAAAGAAGTCTCCGGAGGAAATAGCCTCTCTTCCCCTGCGCTTCAACTGGCTCGTGTGCCCACAGTCCTAGACTGAAACTATGAACTATAAATCACATTAGAAATAAAAACCACCATATTAGTTTACCCATACCCCAAAAGAACAGAAACTGAGGATCTGGGAAACTTCCATCCTTAGCAACAAATCTAACAGAGTAGCTACTACGAAGAAGAAGGAGGAGGAGATTGTATTTATACCCTGCCCTTCACTACCCAAAGGAGTCTCAGAGAGGCTTACAAACTCCTTTCCCTTCCCCTCCCCACAACAGATATCCTGTGAGGTAGGTGGGGCTGAGAGAGCTTTTTCCAGAGCTGTCCTTGAGAGAACAGCTCTGACCAGAACTATGGCTTGCCCAAGGTCATTCAGCAGCTGCAAGTGGAGGAGTGGGGAATCAAACCCAGTTCTCCCAGATCAGAGTCCACGCACTTAACCACTACACCAAACTGGGTACTCATTATGGATTTGGTTGAGTTGTTTTCTCCTTCTTTCATGCCCTGTTAACTACTATTTGTGTTAAAACTCACTCCCTCACTTTTAACCGGATTCACTGCCACTTTTAATTCTTTTTTTAAAAATATGATCTTTCAAGGTACCTCATTAAAGACACGTGATTATTTTATTTCTGACTGCTGACAAATTTGGCTTCATGCTTTTATTGGTTTTTATTGGGTTATTACGTGTTTGTAAATCAGTTTTAAAACACTGTGGGCATCATTTTGGTAGTGAGGTAGTCTACAAATACTTCAGAATAATTAAATAAAATAACTGAAATTAAGCAGCCCTGCTTTATATGCAGCTGTTGGTAGTGTGAATGCAGACACCGTACTCGCCTCTCAAGTCTCACAAAGTCGTGTGTCGCACAGAAGACTGTACCTTCATGGTAAGGTTACATGGTCCATATCTGGCATATGAGCCATGCCGCATGCAGCATCAAGTTTCACACTGACAGATGTGCATAACCAGGATGTTCAGGATTCAGGACAGAAGAATGTAATTTATCAGAGGCACACAGACCAGAGAACAATGTCAAAAGAAACAGGGATGCTGCAAAATTTTATCTAAATGAAAGAGCCTGATACGGATTCATGTGGATGAGAGAATTATGTGATGAAACCTCATTTAAAGCTTCTTGCTACACTCCAGGCTGATGGGGACTTTGTTTGCCCTGCCTCCTCCAAAAGCTGGACACTTATAACAATCCAGAATCTGCCCCCCCCACACACACACACGGGGAGGGGAGAGAAAACTGAAGCCATAACTCTATGAGGCAGGGGCGAAATGCACACTGATCCCATCACTCATTTCCATGCTCCAGAAGTAAGTGATCACCATGTACTGTAACAAGGTGGGCTTTTGCTCATCCAAATTGTGAAAAATGGCAGGATGATTCTTACTCTGTGATTTCTGAATTCAAACATGTATGTGTTCAAAGTCTCTTGAGCAGGGGTCATTTTGTAGGAAAAGAGGCGCAGGAGCTCATTAGCATAACTTTTTTGCATATGCCACACCCCTGGTATCGCCGGAAGTGTGTCAGAAGGCAACACCCACTGCTCAGGCTCCACTGGACTGTTTTGGATTGCTAGCTTTTTTGGGGGGGGACGCACAGATTCTTGTGCTCCTCGTGGCCCGGGGCTGCTGGGAGCAGGGGGCGGGGCTTGTTGCATGTGCCCGCCCCCTGGGCTCTTTACTACCGGAGCGCCGCTCCTGTGCGCTCTTGCAGGAAATGACCCCTGCTCTTGAGTCAGAGGAAGAATTCTTGCACCGGAGAAAGCAACATCACTAGAAGAATGGCTTCACGGATCCAACCCAGTTTCTTTATGTTCCTTTAGGCACCCATTTCACTCCACCATTTGCAGAATAGCTGCTATGCCAGCTCCCATTCATTAGATACTATGAAATGACCCTGGTAGATAATCAAATTCCTCAATGATGCTCACTTTCATCTCCCATGCAGTATTTATACCCAAATAAAAACCTACACTGCCTTTCACAACAGTTTCCTAACAACCAGAGTATTATCCTAGAGGGGGGGAAAACTCTGAGGACTAAGTTTAACTTTAGTATAACCGGGGCAGGGGGGGTGCCATGTACCAGGCCCAACTGAAACAGACACTGCCCCATAACAGAAAATCCAAATTCATCAGCAGAAGCGAGCTTTGGTTTGGGCTTCACAAACTACGTGCACGGGTGGAAGCAGTAAAACAGCAAGGTGGTGTGACAGTTGCTCCTCTCGGGACCTAAGATTTGTTTCTCGGAATAACTGTATCCTTTGCTTCTTAAGTCGTTTGTCAAACACAATGTCTATTGAGATAATCATGACAAGCAGGAGAGGAGACATGAAATGGTGTGATGGAGAAGCTCCATGCAATCTTTTCTAGCATTTTAGTAGCCGCTACAAATACCTTTACTGAATCCAGCAAACTCTTCGGGAAAAATCTTTTCAAACCAACGTCTTTCCTGAAATGAGAAAACCAGTAATGTTTACAAGAAACTCTGCGTATAGCTTACGAACATAAAACGAGCCACCATCAAATCACATGAGAATATCATTAACATTTCATATCAGTTATTTTTCAGGGAACACCGATCAATTTCTCTTGGTTAAAATATGAGGAATGAAAAATTAACCATATTAAATGGCCCCGAATTGCTTTCTTGCTGTTTAAATATTGCATATGCCCCACGAGAAGGCCTTTGATCCCTGCCGTGACTCCCTCCCCCACTAAATAACATATTTCCCCTCCCCTTATAAAACAACCCAGAAATGGTGCTTGTTGGCAAAATAACATTACAACAGCCCTTAGATTCAGGAGGTAGCTGTGTTGTTCTACAATAGAACAGCTAAGAGTCGAGTTCAGTAGCACCGTAGCGATCAGCAAGATTTTCAGGGTATGAGCTTTTGAGAGTCATAGCTTCCAAGCGTCTTGTATCCGATGAAGGGAGCATTGACCTTTGAAAGCTTACACCTCGAAAATCTTGTTGGTTTCTACGGTGCTACTGGACTAGAATCTAGCTGTGCAAAAGCCCTTAGGACACAAGATAAGGTGAATAAAATGGACGTGAGGAGGGAAAAGAAGAGGATCCGGGATGAGGGACACGGCGAACAAGGAATTACGCAAAATGGTGAACAGAAAGGCAGCCCGGTGGCACGGACTTTGAATTGCTGGAGTGATTTCCTTGCTTTCATGTATGCGCATGGGGGGAGGGGGAGAGATGGTGTGTGGATTTAATTTTAGCTACAAACCTCTCCAATACAACTGCACTCCCAGCTGCTGCCCCTGCTGAAACCTCCTTTTGGTGTAGTGGCTTAAGCGCACGGACTCTAATCCGGGAGAACCGGGTTTGATTCCCCGCTCCTCCACTTGTAGCTGCTGGATGACCTTGGGCAAGCCATAGTTCTGGCACAGCTGTTCTCTCAAGGGCAGTTCTTGAAAGAGCTCTCTCAGCCCCGCCTACCTCACAGGGTGTCTGTTGTGGGTAGGGGAAGGGAAAGGAGTCTGTAAGCCGCTCTGAGACTCCGAGTGAACGGTGGGGTATAAATCCAATCTCTTCTCTTCTTCTCAAAATTTCACCTTTATTTAGCTTACTGCCTTGAATGATAGATTAGATTCCAAACCTGGTGCGAAGCCTTCTTTCTCCCATATATATGCTTTAGCCATCACACATGAAGAGGGGCTTCTCTTTAACTACTCTGAACTAGTGGTCCCTCAGGGGATTGCTGCCTGGTGTGTGACCAGATGTGCATTCACTTGTCCATGTGTGCAAAGTGCCGTCACGTCGCAGCTGATTTACGGAGACCATGTAGGGTTTTCGAGGCAAGAGATTTAACAGAGGTGGTTTACCATTGCCTACACCTCTGCACAATGGCCTTGGAATGCCTTGATGGCCTCCCATCCAAATACTCGCCAGGGTCGACCTCGCTTAGTTTACAAGATCTGACGAGACTGGGCTAGCAGTATGTTCACTTACAGGGATGTAAAGAAAGCGGCATTAACCGAGCCATCAACTGCGCACAGCCAGCTACCCTTTAGTAGCATCATGGATGGCAGACCTTCTTTAAAAGAAGACACCAATCCTGCTGAAAAATAAACTTTTGAACCAGGGTAAAAACCTTAAGATTAAAGGCAGAAGAATATC